GTAAAAATGAAAAGATTAGCGCAGAATAGGAAAGGGAGGACTGCGTCAAACCAATCCTAGGATTGTGCACTCTGAGTCATTTATTGTTTCATTTTGAGTTTTGAGCTTGTGTAAAGAATTTTGAATTTAATTAACAATATGGCAGTTAAATCACCTAAATCATCTCAACCATGCTTGATAATACCCAATTGACCATTGCCTGAAATAAGGAAACAATTTGGATTTGATCGAGTTACAAAGTGTAATGTCAGTTCTATTGAATCTTTTTATCTGCAATGTCACTTATCACAAAACTATTTATAGCCACTTTTATAGCTTCTTCTCAAAGTACATTGACCCAGAAATCTTTGAACTATTCCTACAAATAATAATTTGAAAATAAAACCAAAATCGTTATCGAACTATGACAAAGTTTTTGAGGAGTACAGGTTGGGATAGCGAAACAAACATAGCTCAGTCTAGAGTCTTGTATAAAGAAATCTAGTTAACCAAATTACATTCTAATATTTTGTCAACTGAATCTTTCCTGGCATGCCTTCATTTAATCTCAAAAATGTCAAGTTACAAGACATTTACTTGCAGCACTGTCGTCCCTGTTATACTGATAAAATAATTTCTTCCCATCAAAATATTTGTTGAAAAATTAAAAAATGTAGCTTTTACATTTAATTAAAAAAAGTACCTAATATTATGTAAATGGTGTGAACGTAGACAGTGATAACTGAAAGTGAGGTAAACGAAATAAAACCGACCAGTTTTCCAAGTTTTTTTTTTACAGAAACGGGTTTAGGCAGGTATCCTACTGAAAAATTGCTGATTTTACAAAGAAACTTTTAAATTTATGTACGTTTGGTTTGATATAGAAATGTATACACAAAATTAAAAAAAAAGTTGTGGACAGATCTAAACATATGTAATGAAAAACAAGTTAAAAACCACTTATTAACCATACCTTACTATTTATTATTGTATTATTTATTAATATCTGTATCTTGTTAAACTAATTAAAATACTATTGTTATTGTTAATAATTTATGTATAAATTGGCTTGGCCGTCAATAAAAATTATTATTATTATTACCAAGGTTGAAATACAGACCCTAAAAATCACAATAAATCTTTAATTCCTTAGACTTCCCTAATAATATACAATTAATGTCAAGCCGCTTTTTCAGTACTCGTTAAAATAATAAAAAAAATGCAAATATAAGCATGGCCCAAAAGCCGCCGATTCCGTTATACAGTAAAAAATTCAAAAAAGGCTTTAGAGAAAATCACAATCTTTTGAAATTTTTGCTATTTTTATTGAATCATTTTAATCATTTTTTGGATCTCTTTGGGGGTCGTCCATTGATCATGTGAAGTTAAAACATTTTAGCTGAAACACTTTTAAATAAGGCACAAAAATAATAAATGTAGTGCAAGTATCATCTTACTTTCACAATACATCATCAAATGTATTAGAAAAGGGATTAAAAACGCAATAGGCACAATTTGAACATTTATACATTTGCTATCCAGTTTAAGTCATAAATTGCAGGAGTAGTCACATTTTAAAATTATTTACATTAGCCCCTAATTACAATCATGGCCTATTAAAAAATCACTAATACTTTTTTAATCGTAAATAATAATATACACAAAGTTACCATGACCTAATTAAAAGCGGTGAATGCTGATTAGTGTTATCAATATTGATTGTTATATGAAGCAGTGAAGGTGCTATGCAAAAAGCACTGGCTATATAAAGTATCTATGTCTAATGTACACTGATTCATACAAAAACCTAGAATGAGTAACAATAAGAAACCAAAAAAGATATAAATCAGCATGTTAGATTGTAGAATATAAAAAATAAAAAAGTACTTATAGATACATACCTGATGGACAAACACATCTTCTTTGGTGTCATTTCTATGAAGAAAACAATAATTAAAAAAATGTAGCAAATAATAGTATTTAATATGAAAAACTAATATATAAAATACATTATTAATGTACTAAGGACAGCATGCTAACAGTCAGAAATAAGTCCACCAGTAAATTACTGAGAATAATACAGGATTGTGACTATAAATGACAGAAATATGTAAGCATAAAATCAAGAATAGATATCGTTAGTGCCATCAGATGCAAAACAAAATGACCTTACCTGTTTATAAAACCATAGCCGCTTTTAACGTTAAACCATTTCACTGTACCGGTGACCTTGGTTGCTGTAAAAAAACATTACTTAAAACATTGTTCCCGATAAAATCATAGTTGCTGTTAAGATTACAATATCCAAGTGGATAAAACGCGAAAACATCCTACCTATCAAAGGGGCTAACAATAATTTGGAGGTTATCACTGGTGCACAAGGTTAACTTACACACACTGATAGTTATCCAACTTGATTACTTTTACATAATTTTTAAGAAAATAAAAACATGGGTCGTAAAAACAGTTTAAAAAATCACGCGTGGTAAACTAATTAATTTAAATTTTATTCATGATTATATCGTTTGATTTCATTGATGGTAGAGTCAAGGACGATCAACACAAAAGATTGGCAAAAATTATAGACCACAAGCTTAATGGGTGTAATTATCTAAGTTGAGCAAGTTATAGGTAAATGACACTTTGAGTGGGTCGTAGTACGAAATATTTATTTTAAGAATAATGAAAAGATGAATTGAAGATAATGTACTTGTTATTGCACTTATTTTGCATATTTGACGTAAGTTATGACAAGCGCATAAAATTTTTAAAAGGAGCATTTTTGCATTTAAATAATGGCAATAAAAGACTATATCGGCGACAAAGCCAATAAATTAGCCATGTGCCGATTTAAAGATGGAGGAAGCAACGCGGTCGAACGCCGACACGAAATTAAAGTATACACAAAAATGATGTTACAAGCTCTCACCGATAATTTGCTTTCCTTGAGCGGTCGCCTTGTCTTGTTCGGGCGCCTGTTCCGCTTCAGCCATGATGTTATCGGGGCCGGTGGTAAGATTTTCTTACGCCACTACCACTTCAGATGTTGATCTCTATCCAGCTCTTGCAGTTGTTAACAATCGTTAAAAATTTCGGGCTTGGGAGGGTGGCTATGTTCAGCACGGGCAATTTTGGGCGATCTGATTGGTCGCTGTCAATCACGTGACCGCATCTTCTATAATTGGAACTCAAGATGGCACTGTACTGCTGAGATTTTAAATGAAATGTTGCCGCCTTTACAAAATAACGCTAAATGTAGTATTCAAATTCGTCAAATTAAACATGAAAAGGGCGCGAACTCTGCTATTTTATATGTTCTTCTCTCTTCTAACGCACAAAATTCTGTATTTTATTCAATTCCCTTACCGATCTCAGACGTCTCAACAAATCAAAGAACCGATTACACGATGTATATAGAAGTTCATTCGTGCCATTCATATCGAGTATATTTCTACGGAGATTCAAAAGTACCGCGAAACGTCCTTCTTTTCGACTTGAAAGAAATATGGTTTTGCTCGTATAGCTTTTTCCCTAAAATTTCCACAACCTCCCTAATCCATAATATCCACCACATTGTTTGAGATATGTCGCGGCCCAGCGCGATGGATACAAAAGGAGTGGAGATATGTATCCCTGTTAGTGCCTACCAGGGACGCATCTCCACGATAGCTAGTTGACTAAATCCTCGGAGAGGCGGCGACGCCAGGCATGTGCCAAAGTATCAAGCCTTTTCCTCAGAATTGCTAACTGTAAGTGTAGGGTAAGTCAAGGAGTGCGGTATCAGTTTCGGGAGACCTCTAAGATCGACATTACTCCACCATGAGCATTAAATAAAAAATTAATCATCCATTTTTAGCGTAACACAACGAAGTTGAGGTAAAGCTTATGTGTTCGTGTTTCCGTCTGTCCGTCCGTCCGTTCCATCGAGATATCGGCCCCTGGGCCACCTAGAGAATTCGGGTTTTCGCAAATTGATAGCTGTTATGGTCTATATTTGCCCATTTCGATCAGTTTCATTTAACTCCATATTTTGCGCAGACTGCGCAATGGCAACTTTCTTATTTATGGAGATATTTCTTTGAAATTTTAACCACAGACGCTTCTATAGTAAAGTTAAACATTTCGCACATAGTAAAAATTATGTGGGCATGCTAACATTCTTATTTATGGAGATCTTTCTTTGAAATTTTAACCACAGATGCTTCTAGTAAAGACAAACATTTCGCACATAGTAAAAATTATGTGTGGGCATGCGCAGTGATGTATGGGCATACTGCGAAATGGTAACTTTCTTATTTATGAAGATATTCCTTTGAAATTTTAACCGCAGATGCTGCTAGTAAAGGCAAACATTTTGTGTTACGCGGCAATACCCACGAGTGGGTTTTGGAACATTTTTTATTTAATGACCATGAGCAAACAAGAGATAGGAGATAGACTTATGAGGGCAAACTGGAAAGCTTTCTGTATAGCATTGCATTCTCTGCTTGAGCTCGTTTGAAGCAGATATAACAAAAACGACACTTTTTGTCGGGACTTGCGAGCGGAAATCGATTCCTGTTTGAGAACCCTGGATATTGAGTCTAACAATTCCTTCTCTTTGTGACTGATGCGCGCAAGTTGCACAGAAAGTTCTTCGTGAACGTGCTTTTTAATGGATAGCCTAGCCGTATTTGGTAGCAAAGCTACGGGGTTTCGCTTAGTTAGGGCAAAGGTGCTGATTTCTTGGACTCTTGGTCACTGATTGACAAAAGCGTAGCCAGAGCTAAAAATCTTTTAAGGTACGTCCTGGACTCGTCTCCATTTGGGGATTTACTGGTCAGCTGATCACAAAGCAAACACAATAGAGTTCATTCATCGTTCTTATCTTTTATTTATTTATTTATTTATTTATTTATTTATTTATTTATTTATTTATTTATTTATTTATTTATTTATTTATTTATTTATTTTTATTTATTTATTTATTTATTTATTTATTTATTTATTAGTGTTTATTTATAAGATTCAGCTTCAGAATAGTCAACCCGAAAAAATCGTCCTCGGAAGATCTGCTCCTGGAGAATTTTCCCACAAAATATTCGCTCATAATAATTCGTCTCCCGAATATTCGCACCGGAAAACTCGTCCCGGAAGATTCGCCCAAGGAGATGGACTGATTGCCCCGTCAAATTTAATCAGGGCATTTAGGGTTATGTACACATCGTTTAATTTGCATGGTCCATTAACTTGCCTAAGGCATTTAAATTGTATTAACACAGGAAGGTAATCACATGAAATATTGGCTAATACCGTTGACTAAATGCTAATACTGTTGAGTGATTTCGTTATTCAATGCTAATATCGAAAATAACGATAATCGAATCAAAAAACCGGAAGGAAGGAGGAAAGGAAACTCGATCCAGGTAATAGTGACAGAAAATTATTCCAGGGCAAACCATCCAGGAGCGAATTTTGAGGGAGAAGATCTTCCGGGAGTGAATATTCCGCCGGTAGCGAATATTCCGAGGGGAATTTACTGGGGCGAATTTATCGCACAAGCATACTTACTCACCCATTTACTTGCGTCGCTTTCTTTTGAATGCTACCAAAATTTTAATTCTGAAATGTCTTGTTCGACTTGGCAACGTTGGAATCTGCCAAAATTCGCATGTGAACATTTCATAACCTTACATTTTATTTTCCAGTTTTTTAAAAATCTCAAATTGTTGTGTTAATAAATATGATCGCACTCGCGCCTCGACTTCGGTTTTTATCGAATTTTAGTAATAAGCCGTATAAAGTAAGTAAAGGCATTAGTTACGTATTAGTGTTATATCCATTGTATTTCTTTTAGTTATATTCAAAAAGATATGCCTCATATGTAAAGTATGCAGAACACAAACCAATTGAGAAGATTAGAAATATCGGCATATCGGCACACATCGATTCCGGTAAAACTACGTTAACCGAGCGTATACTTTTTTATACAGGCAGAATTGATGAAATGCATGAAGTAAAAGGTAAAGATAATGTGGGTGCTGTGATGGACTCAATGGAATTGGAGAGACAAAGAGGCATTACTATACAATCCGCCGCGACGTATACGATATGGAATGATCATAACATTAACATTATTGATACCCCTGGCCATGTAGATTTTACCGTAGAGGTTGAGAGAGCATTGCGCGTATTGGATGGTGCTATTCTGGTATTGTGTGCTGTGGGTGGTGTTCAAAGCCAAACGCTGACTGTCACTAGGCAAATGAAAAGGTACAACGTGCCATTTTTAGCATTCATCAACAAACTCGATCGGGCAGGCTCCAATCCTAACAGAGTAATTTCACAGTTAAGATCGAAACTTCAATACAATGCCGCCTTCTTGCATCTACCAATAGGATTAGAAGGTGAGCACAAGGGAATTGTCGATTTGGTCAGTCAAAAGGCGATATATTTCAACGGAAACTTTGGCGAATCTGTATGTTACGATGAGATTCCAAAAGATATGCGAGCTGAAAGTGACGACCGCAGAAGTGAACTCATTGAACATTTGTCCAATGTTGACGATAAGTTAGCGGAGTTATTTATGGAAGACAAGCCTGTAAATGAGCTCGATTTACATGCTGCGATTAGACGAACATGTCTAAAGCGTACCTTTACACCTGTTTTGTTAGGGACTGCGTTGAAAAATAAAGGGGTGCAACCTTTATTAGATGCTGTACTGAGGTATCTACCTAATCCAGGCGAAGTGAATAATTTTGCTCTCTGTGAAAAGGACGGCGAAGATACTCAGAAGATAGTTTTAAATCCTGCGAGGGATGATAGTAGCCCTTTTGTTAGTTTGGCTTTTAAATTAGAAGCGGGACGATATGGACAATTAACTTACATGCGATGCTATCAAGGTTCGTTAAAAAAGGGGGATTACATCTTTAATACAAGGACGTCGAGAAAAGTTCGTATTCCACGATTAGTTCGTTTACATTCGAACACAATGGAGGATGTGAACGAAGTTTTTGCTGGAGATATATTTGCGGTGTTTGGTGTTGATTGCGCCAGTGGTGACACGTTTGTGACCGATAATAAGCTCAATTTATCCATGGAATCGATATTTGTACCAGATCCAGTTGTGTCAATGGCGATCAATCCAGTAAATAATAAGGATCGAGACAATTTTTCTAAAGCTGTCGCAAGATTTACTAAAGAAGATCCTACCTTCCATTTCTTCTTTGACTCTGACAATAAAGAGACGATCGTGTCTGGAATGGGCGAACTGCATTTGGAGATCTACGCCCAGAGAATGGAACGCGAATACAATTGTCCGGTAGTTCTTGGTAAACCGCGAGTCGCGTTTCGCGAATCTCTGCTGCATCCTTGCGAATTTGACTATTTGCACAAGAAGCAATCTGGTGGTCACGGAGAGTTTGCACGAGTTATCGGCATATTGGAACCTTTGCCTCCTCAAAAAAATACCACTTTGGAATTTACAGACGAGACTGTGGGTACAAACGTTCCTAAACCCTTCATACCGGGTGTCAAACGTGGTTTCTTGCTTATGTCTGAGAAAGGATTGCTTTCCGGTAATAAACTTTCGGGACTTAAATTCCGTCTTATTGATGGAATGCATCACATTGTGGATTCCAGTGAACACGCATTTTGTCTTGCAGCACAAGGCGCAATTAAAGAAGGTAAGTCTCCACTTGATATACAAAAGAAAAGCAGCATGTCATGCCATCGTCATTCTCTGTATCGCTCCACATAGAGGAGACAGTTGAAAAATTGGTCAGAAGAGAGATTTAAAATGGCGTCCACTGTGGCAGCAGTTCACTTGCACCATCCAAATTTTCACTTTGCAGTGGTTTTAAATTCTCATTTTTGTGGTTGTAAACATGATGGAAGGTAATAATTCATGGCAGTTCAAAATTATATAGAATAGTTATATTTTATACCGTTTTTAATTACTACTTCATACTTAATTTTTTTTATAGTTTTCGAACGGGGTATATGGCAAATTCTTGAACCCATTATGGCTGTGGAAGTGACCACTCCCGATGAATTCCAGGGCTCAGTTATGGCTCAGTTAAATAAAAGACACGGTTTGGTAACAGGCACGGATGGAACTGAAGGATGGGTTACAGTATATGCGGAGGTACCATTAAATGATATGTTTGGATATGCAGGAGAACTTCGATCAAGCACTCAGGGAAAGGGAGAATTTTGTATGGAATATAGCAGATATTCTCCTTGTCCGGCAGAATTACAAGAGAAGCTAATAGAGGAATATCAGAAATCTCTGGGAATTTTACCTGACAAAGCTCAAAAGAAGAAAAAGAATTAATGTGATATTATTTTAGTTGCAAATAACTGATATTTATAATTTTGTATATAATGTATCCTTGTCAATCTGTGAATAAGTGAAATTATATTCATACAAACAAGGTCCCATATATGAGTTTATGATCATAAAAAACGTAATGCTCCTCTTATGCAACACACATTACAATTGTTACTATCGCTAGAAATTCTATTGTGTTGTCATTTTTGAATAATAACGAAATTTTTTCACTCAATGGTGGTCATTGAATAAATTATTAAATTTATTTCTTATTCAATGGTGTTCTGTACCCTAGTAGTGAAATTCAAACTCCGAACCAATTGGAAACATTTTCCCTGAAAATTACATCATTCAATGCTAATTTCAAAAGATAACTAATTTTTTGCTATAACCTACCTTATTGAATAGATAACTGCAACCTTGGTTTGTTTAGTTAATTGATAGAGCGAGTACAGTTACACAAATTGTAAATATTATAATTAATTGAATAAGTTTCAATTTCAAATTTTATATGTACAGGGTGGGCCGTTAGTGTGTGGGTGGAAGATTGTGGGTTTATTAACGCACATGTTTAAAATTCATTGTGCATGTGGGCATGTTGATTGTTGACAACCTAAAAATATTTTCAACAAAATTGCAATTGTTATACAGGGTGATTTATATCAAATTTGCAATTTTTTTAATGGAACGCCCTTTATATTATTGCATATTTCGATTCCTTGATAGATTTTAGTGTGATTTTATGTAGTAGGTACACATGATATCTAAAATAATGAGTTGTTTACCTGCCATCCGTCATTTTTTTCAAAAAGTTGAGTTCCTGTAAAAATTGAATAAGTTGCGTAGTTATCATAAAACTTAGAAGGCCGTGACTCTGTAGTGTTTCTAAACACGCAATGTACCGCCATACGCCGATCGCTCAAAGTTAAACTTCTTTTGTATTAAAAGAAATCACTCCGTCAATTTTCAAAACTTCAATCAAAAGTAACTTGATTTCTTTAAATGGAACTACTTACCACTTTATTAAATCAAATGTAGGATTTTATTACTTTAATACTTTTCTAACAATATAAGCATGTCGGTATTTATCTTTTACATATTCTTTGTAATTCAAGAATTTCAAATAATTTAGAGTGTTTATCGATTTTCAAAGCTTCTCACCAAGATATATAGAGATATCTTGCTTCTCACTATATCCAGTAATTAGTAGGCCGTGAAAAATTAAAATAAAAATAAAAGAAAAATAACAATACTATTTTAATAAATGTTCAAAATGTCTTTCGCGCTATCCTACCAAACAGTTATCGATGCGTTTAGAAAAGGATTCTTTGACATAAAGCATAGCTGACGTTATGGATGCGAAAGGGGGCCGGTACACTACGCCGAATGCCCACAACGCCGACACGATTTTTTGGTGGTCCATATCGCCGACTAGGGACAATACGTCGACGGATACTACGCCGACCGTGCCCACTTCGTCGAAAAGTGTACAAGGGACAAGCCCAACGTGACCACAACGTCGACTCATATAGTATGGTACGGAGTGCAACACCAAGCAGTTTTGGACGCTAGGACTAGGTTATTGTAGGTTTAGAATTTTTTTTTTAATTTTTTTTTAATTACAAACTCTTATAAATGAAACTGGACGGAGTGTGACACCAAGCAGCTTTGGATATTAGGTTATTTGTAGGTTTAGGACATTTTTTTAAACTTTTTTAAAAATACAAACTCGTACAAAAATAGTCCGCGTTGTGGTCACGTTCGGCTTACTGTCCCTTGCACACGTGTCGGCGATGTGGGCACGGTTGGCGACTGGCGTAGTGTCCGTCGGCGAAGAGACTGAAGGTAGGTATTTTGACGAGGCGAAGCCGAGTTAAAATATCAGTCAAATATATACAATATTTTTTTACATAGTGATGAAATTATCGGACTTTTTTAACGAAAAATCGTATGGAAAGTGGTACTTTACACAAATTTACAATGTACAAATTTAATTAACAATCGGTTGAGTTGTAGAAAAAATATTATATATATAACGCTAGCGCGAAGTCATTTCGGGCATTTGACTGATATTTTAACTCGGCTTTGCCTCGTCAAAATACCTTCAGTCTCAATGCGCGAAATTGAACTTCGCGCTCTTGTTATATAAATAACTATTTTCTACAACTGTCAAAAAAACCTGTCATTTTCTGACGAATTTCGAAGCGCGAAGTACTAGATTTTTAAACGGTTAATTAATAAGTAAGGTTGCCCTTGACAACATGCGCGAAATCGTCAACAGTGAAAAAAAGTATTTTGCGCACGTGACAAAGTTGAACTTAAACAGCAAATTTAATTAACAATCGGTTCAGTTGTAGAAAAAATATTGTATATAACGCTAGCGCGAAGTTATTTCGCGCATTTGACTGATATTTTAACTCGGCTTCGCCTCGTCAAAATACCTTCCGTCTCAATGCGCGAAATTGAACTTCGCGCTCTTGTTATATAAATAACTATTTTCTACAACTGTCATAAAAACCTGTCATTTTCTGACGGATTTCGAAACGCGAAGTACTAGATTTTTAAACGGTTAATTAATAAGTAAGGTTGCTCTTGACAACGTGCGCGAAATCGTCAACAGTGAAAAAAAGTATTTCGCGCACGGGACAAAGTTGAACTTAAACAGCAATTTTTATTTTATTATTAACAATCGGTTCAGTTGTAGAAAAAATATTGTATATAACGCTAGCGCGAAGTTATTTCGCGCATTTGACTGATATTTTAACTCGGCTTCGCCTCGTCAAAATACCTTCAGTCTCAATGCGCGAAATTGAACTTCGCGCTCTTGTTATATAAATAACTATTGCTATTTAAGTTCAACTTGTCATATGTGGGAAATAGGTACTTTTTTTCATTGTTGACGGTTTCGCGCACGTTGTCAAGGGCAACCCTACTTATTACATAACCGTTTAAAAATCTAGTACTTCGTGTTTCAAAATGCGTCAGAAAATGACGGGTTTATTTGACAGTTGTAGAAAATGATAATTATCGAGAGAATTTTCAACGACATAAACTTGAGAAGTCCATTTCCAATGTTTATACCAGTTGATTTGAAACAACAGCGATCAAGTAAGAGCATTGTGAAGTGCCATGATCACATTTCACAACCTAGTTCTCTACTAATTTTTGAGGATTATCGTCCACTTGCTCACCTTTGATCTCAGAAAACTTCAGCATACCTACCTACAGTTGTTCTAATATTTTTCAAAAGATCCGTTTTTATTTAAATTATCTCTCGCAATACCAACACCAAAAAAGCAAAAATGCTAGCAAGTGTACGCATGGATGATGTACCTAATTATACCGATTGAAATAGTATATTGAAAGACAAGTGTTACAATGCGACCTATTGTAATACGACTATCTTGTGGCACGAGTGGCGACGCGAAGCGTAGGCACGAGTGTCCGCAAGATAGAAGTATTACAATAAAGCATTGTAACACGCGTTTTTCATACTATTTTTTCTATTTCGGTGCTTTAATTTAATTAAAAAAATCATTATCAGAAACTATAGGGAACATTAGAACTAACATGTTTTATGTTGGGAACACTTTTTATGCCGTTAAAGTTTTAGGTTGGCAGCGTAGTAAGACTGACATTTTGAAGTTCAAACATGGAAGTACCCAACGAAAGGCGCTTTCTTTCGGTGATCCAAACGCGTTTGGATTGTCAAATCACGTTCTTTCGAAGTGTGATCTTATAATCATGATTGCTAAAATCGTGAACAAACTGAACATAAACGTTTTATGATCATGAATTCCTAACCTACAAATGCAAGCAGGGCCGGCTCGTGGGGTGAGGCGGCGAGGCGGCCGCCTCAGACGGCATAATCTTAGGGGCGGCATTTTTGAAATTTAAAAATTTTAAAAAATGTTTTATTATAATAATGTAGTATAATAATAAATCTTTGTAATGCCCATTGACTGAAAGCGATTATAAAATATAGCCAGGCCACTAATTTGCGATATATGTAATAGAATAGCATGGTTTTTTTAAATTAGTTTATCGTACTTGATAACGAATAAGCTAGCGCCGGCGGTGATACACCAATGTCGCTGCATCGCTTATTACTGCTTAATCGTTATAGACGGGAAGTGAAGGAATCGTGCAATGCCACATAGGTAAAAAAAAAACCTTTAGAAATACTGGTAGTCCAGTATGTTAAGATAATTTTGACGTACAAAAGGTGGTGTAAAAGAGTTTATTGTTTTAAATGGTCCATTTGGGTCCAAATAACATGTATTGGAAGAGTACACACAAATTTTTTCCCGGCACAACTTTTGGCAGCCAAAAAACCTCAAAATATTCGGACTTTCTTTAGTTTTGCGCTTAAAACTCGAAAACGGTCCATATTTTATGAATAACACTTTTGAGTAAATTAAAGAAAACAAAATTCTGCGTCGATAAAAAAAACAAACAAAATCGGTCCCATAGAAAAATTTTTACAAGCGATCAAAAAACGCCCTTTTTTCTACGATTTTATTTAATTTTCTGGTTGTTTGGTGGTACTTGTATTAAAGAACCAATTAACAAACAAAAAACCTTTTGCCCTTTTCATTCGGGCGGCAAAGTTTGCGCTTGCCTCACCCATATTTTTTCGACGAGCCGGCCCTGNGACATTGTCAACCAACACATGCGAAATTATGGCTTACTAGTAGGCTTGGGACACTTCGCGACCCGAAGGACCAACATTCAAATGAGTATAACTTTTGTTTGAAAAGTTATTTTAAAAAAACTGTTCGACAGTTTTGTTCCTTAACTCGTTTAGTATGTACACAACAAATTTCGTGGAATTATCTCTATTTTCGTTGTCCCGCCAAGAATTGCAGTGGAACTTTTTTTTCGAATTTTCAAAAACTAATTTCAGATTCGTGATTTTCATGTTAAAAAACCCCCAGATACCAAATTTCGTCGAAATCAGAATTTTTTTTGCACCCTAGTTTAGGGGTGCGCCCTTTAGGGGTAGGAATTTTGAAAAAAAATTGCAAAATCGGAAAGAGCATACCCAAAAACCTATTCAAAGACATGCCACCCGACTTTGTAACTCTTATGGTTGCTGAGAAAA